CCCGTAAATCCTCACCGTACGGTCCGTCACGGTCGCTGTGCGCCAGCAGGGGGAAAGAGGAGGGGAAGGAGAGGAGTTCGGTGGCAACTCATGTGAGCCTCCCACGCCATCTTGCTGGCTCGTGCGGATCGACGCTGGCCGATGCCAACAGACGCCGATCGAGGCTAGTCGATGGGCGCGTTCTCACTAATTGACAGACGCCAGCGCACGCCAACGCACTCTAGAAATGGAGCTTCAAGGACAAGCAAGGCTCCCATCATTTGCGACCGCAGGAGGGGAGCCAGACCCCCGCGAGGTGGAGCTTTTCCACCAGGTGGGCTTTCAAAGCTAGATGAACAAACAATCCCAGACATCTGACGTCGTGATTTGTGATGTTTCGTCGGAAAGATGAAGGAGGAAGAAGCCCCATTTGGGAGCTGCTACGCCAGAGTGGGCCTCGGATTAAGCGGGATTAAGCGGGATTATGCGGATTAAGCCGGATTTCGGACCAGGGCAAAATCAGAATTAGATCTCCCAGGAGTTGCATCCGAACGTCCCCTTCCCCCAGGCAATCCCCCATTGGTGCAGCCCCTGAATAACAAACCCTCCCCAGCAGGAGGACCCTGGCAGGCCGGAGAGACCGGCGGCGACTCGATGACTCGACTGCCCCGGGCAGCTGGGAAGCATTATTATGAAAGGGCCCTGGGCCACGCACAAAGAAGTACGCACAGATAACAGGACCCCCCATATTTCCCCACATCTTGAGGGCTCCTGCCTTCCCCCCCCCCTGCCATAATCATAGTTTCCCCTAATGCCCTGGGAATCGAGGATTCACTGTGTCTGTTTTGGACGCCCGAAATGGGTGCCGAAAAAATGGGTACGATGCCCAACAGCAAATGCTGTCCCAAACCAACAGCGGCCGCTGTTGGGCAGGCGGCCTCCCGTCTCGAACGGACACAGGCCGCGGCGGCGTGGACAGCGGATCTTGCTCAGAATGAACAGGAACTGCTGTTGGGCATAGTACCCATTCTTTCAGTACCCATTTCGGGCGTCCTGATCTGTGCATGTTTCTTCCCCTCCCTTGGGGGTCCCGAAACGGTGCGGTGACGGACCGTGCGGTGACCTCGAAATCCCCCAAGACCTCACCGCACGGTCCGTCACCGCACGGTCTTGGGACCCCGGAGGCCCCTGTCGCCCGAGACGTCCTCGGAGAGGGACTCGAGTCCCAAAACCGTGCGGTGACCCCGAATCCCCACCGACTCACCGCACGGTGTGGTCACCACCCCGTTTGGGGGCCCCCGATTCTTCCCCTCCCGGTACGCACCGGGGGCAGCGCGTGTGGCCCGGAGGAGGGGAGGTCGGCGGAGGTGGGCGACGGCACCGGCGGCCAGCGAGCGCCCCCGCCGGGGCGCGGCCCGCGGCTGTGGTGCGCGCAGCACGCGCCTGCGGGCACCACACCGGCCTCCCCGCCACTCGCCATCGCTCATTCATGCAGCAACGACATGGCTGTTCGGCCTCCCTCGCCATCGCTCGGACGTCCATTCCCTGTGCTGTTTTCGGTTCCGTGCGTGGTTTTTTTTGCTGCCGAAAGGATCAAGGATGCTCCTCGATGGTCCTCGCCGAAGGCAAGTGCACACGTCCGAGCGATGCCAAGCACAGCGGGTGTGCTTCTGCGACGGCGCCCGCGTGCACCACGGCGCCTGTGCACACCACAGTGCCCTGCAGTCAGCCTAGAACCTGCGCGCACCATGGCGCCACGTCGCCCGTGATGGGCCAGTTTTCCACCACCACCACCACCAGAGGTTGGAGGGGGGAAGGAGGTGGAGGATGAGGAGGAGGAGGAGTAGGAGGAAGAGGAGGAGGAGGGCCCCCATCCCCCTCTCACTCATGGTGGTGGTGGTGGAAAACAAGCCTATAAGCCTGGGTACACTATAGCGCCTCTGTGCACCAGCACCCGCGTGCGCAACAGCGCCATTGCACACCACAGTGCCTGCGTTCACTGGATTTGGTGTCGTACACCACGGCGCTGGCGCATATCACAGCAGCCGCGTGCACCATACCGTGGCCGTACATCGGTCCATGCGCGCACGAATCGACAACAAAAGTGTGATCAAACAGGTCGTTTCGGCCTGGCCACGCCTCCCTCGTCCTCCCTTCCTCCCAACTCCATCCCCCCTCCATCTTCTGTCCGTGCGCGACACACCTTGCACTAGAATGAAGAAGACGACGGCAACGAGAAAAGGAACGCTACGACGGCGACGCCGACGACGACGCCGACGACGACAAAGACGATAATGCCTGCATACCTTCGGGGGCCTCTGGGCCATGTCAGTCGTCGTCGTCGTCCTCCTCATCCTCATGTCCCCTCTTCCTCCTTCCCCTCCTCCTCCTCCTCCATCCCACATACTCCTTCTCTCCCTCCTCCTCCTGATGAGGACCCCTAAAAGGTGCTATGGAAGCTGCAAGAGATTTACGCGGCGCGACTCTCATCACGTCACCAAGAAGTCTGGGCACCAGGGGTCTGTGGAGAACCGTGCCAAAAGAGAGTGTGGGGGCGGGCGGCGGCCAGGTCCGCATCCGTAAAGTTGTCCGCACCTGGTCGAACCTGCTCGCACACGCCAGCCAAGGGTACAAAGGATAGCCCATGGGCTCCACGACCACCTGGGCCTCTCGCGTCCGCTTTGCAGGCCCCCCTGGCATCGAAGAACCCCTGCGTCGCGACGCCCATCGCCCGATCAAAACGGCGCTGCGTGCCGCTCCTCCGCCAAAAAGGGGGGGGTCCTCTGCCACGGCACGGGCGGCTGCCGAGCTCCGGTCCATCCGTCTCCCACCTCCTCCTCCTCCTCCTCCTCCTCCTCCTCCTCCTCCTCCTTACGACCCAAGACTCCCCTCCATCCGCTCCCGTCCAGTACTCCCCTTGAGGGGGAGGGTGGAGAAAGGACAGAAAGCGCCGAAGGGAGGGAGATGCGGAGATCGGGGAAGGGGTGTGGAAAGAGGGAGGGAAGGAGGGACGGGCATTGGGAGGGGGGGAGGCGACGGTTGGGAAGGGGGAGGGGGTGCAGATAAGGAGCGATGGCAGGGGGAGGGAGGGTGGGGAAGGGGGGAGGGGGACGAATGGGATGGGGAAGGTGGAGGGAGGGGGAACGGTACAGGGATGGGGAGGGGAGGGTCGGACGGGGCGGAGACGCGAGTGGGAGGGGAGGGGAGAGACAGAGGGCGGACCCAGGGAAACGACTGCACTGAAGAAGTAAAGACTTCGGCTGCTCCCCCCCCTCCTCCATCCTCCTCCTCCTCCATCCTCCTCCTCCTCCTCCTCCTCCTCCTCCTCCTCCTCCTCCTCCTCCTTTTTCTCCTCCTCCTCCTCCTCCTTTTCCTCCTCCTTCTCCTCGTCCGTCTCCTCCTCCTCCTCCTCCTCCCGCCCCCGACGCCCCTGCTGCCGCCGCTGCCCCGCAAGGGGGGCCCGTCCCGTGGCCACGTGCCGCCCCGGCCGGAGCCTTCCCTCCGAGAGTGCCGCCGAAGGGGCGTCGGAGGGCGTCTCGCTCTCGGCCCTGGCAGGGGTGGGCACGCCCGCAGTCGGGGGACGCACGGGAACTTACTAACACTGCACGTCCTCCTTGGACTGAGCAGTTTCTCTGGGTGGAGGGCAAAGGGTGAAATCTGAAATGCCGTTTCGATGGGTGTTCGAGGCTTGAATCTGCAAAAAGCGAGCAACAGAACGGATTGATTTTCCGGGTGCAAAAGCCCATATGGATTTCACCCTGAGCCCTCCACCCTAAGAAAATGCTCCGTTGGAGGCGCGCGTCCGACCCGAACGTATAGCAGACCCGTCTTGTCGTAGGCACGCCCGCAATGGGGACGCACAGGGACATGCTCATCGGCGGTGGACAAACCTCCCTGTAGTAAATGAAAACGGCCTGGGGCCGAAACCGACGGGCCTGGACCCGCAAAAATGACGGCCGCGAAGCCCTCTCGCGAGCCGAAACTGGCCAATTCCTTAATCGACGTGTCAGGGTATGAGGTCTGTCCACCCCCTTGGAGGCGCGCGTCCGACCCGAACGTATAGTAGACCCATCTTGTAGTAGATCGTTTCCCGGGCAGTGTGGCCAGAAAGTGTCCGCCACGACACATGTACAATATGATGTTTGTCGGTGCGCGCGACGCCCCTGGGGGGGCGGCGCGCATATAGTAGAAGTATGTTGGCGTGACGCCGAGCAATGGGTACAGAAAATGGGCGCGGCCCGCAACAGCAAGTGACATCCCAAACTGACAGCGGCCGCAGATGGGTAGGCGGCCTTAGGCCCCTAGTGGGCAATGCCTGCGGCGACGCCGACAACGAACCGTGTTCAAAATGGGCAAAATCTGCTGTCCGTCTTCGTATCCGCTCTCTCCGTAGCCCTCTCTGACCGTACCGCGGAAGCTGGCTTGGACGGCATCTCGCCTCCCCCTACCAACCCCTGCGAGCTCCAAGAGAGCCACGCGGAGCTCCGCAAGTTGATGTATCTGTTGCGTCTTCTCGACGAACAGCGCTGGGCTTAGGTCGGGCATGTCCTCCTGCAGTGGAATTTTGCACGACAAAAAATCAAGCAAATCCGCACTACATGCAAGAATAATCAAGAAGTCGTCCCCAGACTCTTTTTGACTATTTGTGCATCTTCCTCCTGTAGAGGGACAAGCCCGACTTCACGCTGGGCCGAAAAGGCGCGCAACCGAGTCCCGAAAGGCGTCCAGATTTGTCCTCCCGGGCCGCGCCACGCCCCCTGACCCTCCGCTGGCCAGCGCTCGGACGCCCCCCCCTCCCCGTGCGCTGCTCGACCCCGCGCGTGCTCACTCCCTCCCCGGGATGCTCCAAGATGCTCCCCGAGATCCCTCGCCGAGGAAGAACAGATGACACGCGCCCGCGCGATTGCCCAGTCCCCGCCCCCCCTCCATGCAAGGAAACCTGCCAGAGCCCGGAGAGAGACGGCCTCCGGCCACCGCCGGATCCCCGCGGCCGCGGGCGTGCGGGGACGGGGCGTGCGCTCTCAGGCGGAGCCGTTGGTGCTGGTGGCCAGGGGCACCAACTTCAGGCCGGCCTTCGCGATCCAGCCTCCGCCGGCTCTGCGGGAGGAGGAGGAGGAGGAGGAGGAAGAGGAAACGGAGGAGACTGAGGAGGAGGAGGTGAAGGAGGAGGAGAACGAGGAGGAGAACGAGGAGGAGAACGAGGAGGAGGAGGAGGACGAGGAGGAGGGGGAGAAAGGAGGAGAAAGGAGGAGAACGGAGGAGGAGGAAGGAGGAGAACGAAGGAGGAGGAGGAGGGGGAGGAGGGGGAGGAGGGGGAGGAGGAGGAGGAGGAGGAGGAGGAGGAAGAGGAGTTGGAAGGCCGCAAGACCAGTTATAATAGGAGTCCGCTGGCCTCCCTGTGGGGCCATCAGGCTGCATGGCGGGGGCGTTCCTGCCCACCTGCTCCAGTTCCCGTTCCCAGTCTCGAATGCTAGAATGTTATGCGTTCTGTCTCATGCTGTGAACTGTTGCTGCCCACGCGAGGGGGGAACCGAAAAGGAACCAGGTGCCGTCCCCGAGTCGCGTTGCCTGATTTTCCGGTGGGTCTGGGACTGGAGCAGAACAAAAAAAATGAGGACCGCGCCTCCGAGGCAAGAATCCATGGTAAAGTACGCCAGATTCATGCCCCCGAGGCCAGAACCCATAACAAATTATACAACACTCGCGCTACCGACGTCAGAATCATTTGGAAATTCCACCATGTTCGCGCTCCCGAGACCAGAATCTCGCGCACACTGCGCCAGAGCCCCGTGTAAACTGCACCAGGCTCGTATTCCCTGGGCCATGCCTCCTCGCGAATGACGCCACATTCGCACTCCGGAGGCCAGAATATCTGGTAAGTAGCACCCCGCAGATACGGATAAGAGTGAGGGGGCGGGCGCGGGGTGCGTCGCGGACGGGTCGCGGGCGGGTCGCAGGTAGGTCGCGGGTGGGTCGCGGGTAGGTCGCGGGATGGGTCGCGGGTGCGTCGCGGGTGGGTCGCGGGCGGGTCGCGGGATTGGTCGCGGGTGGGTCGCGGGTGGGTCGCGGGTGTGTCGCGGGGTGGGTCTCGGGATGGGTCGCGGGTGGGTCGCGGGCCGGGGTCGCGGGTGGATCGCGGGGTGGAGTGCGGGATGGGTCGCGGGATGGGTCGCGGGAGGTTCGCGGGGTGGGTCGCGGGTGGGTCGCGGGGTGGGTCGCGGGGTGGGTCGGGGGTGGTCCACACCGCAGAACCCCACTTCAGCCACGCACCCAAGGGACAATGAATGACCGTTCGACACCCTACCCTGAGATAGATCCCCTGGCAAGTTGCGCTCAATTCGCGCCCCCAAAGCACAGATGGCCGCAAGCAGTCGCCGGTCGCACGGAGAGGGCTGCTAATGTAGCGTGAGGTGAGCAACCCAAAGATGTAGCAAAGCTTGCAATAACGGCCCCGACATCTCAATATGGTTTCCTGATTTCGATCAGTCCAAGCATGATGTTCACAAGATGGCTTCATGACAGCGCCCAGGCACCCAGACGCGGTTCTGATATCTTCATTATGAAAAGGATTGGGCAGGCGGCAGAGGGCGAATCCCTTTCGGATTAAAAAAAACACAAACAATCAGAACGGCACGAAGTAGAATGCCAGGAAGAAGGATTCTCAGAGCATTTCTTCGGACAACTTACACTTATAGCATATGCCGCCAACGGAGACGTTGCTTTGCCGTCTGTCGCCGTTTTGTTAACCGCTTCTATTTTGAAGAGACACTTTTTCGAAAACGGTGAAAAGACTGCCCTGCCGTTTCTGGGGCACATCTTGAAGGGCCCCGGGGAACTAATACACACAAGTCCCGGGGTGTCAAATCTGGTCCATATCTCCTGGACTTGCGTCTCCCCCTCCACTTCCCATACTTTCCATGTATTAATCCCCTGGTCGATGAGTGTTTGTGTCAGTGCGTTACTTTCCCTGACATTTCCCGGCCCGATGGTGATGCGGCCCATCCTCAGAGGCAACTTCCAGTAGGTCTCCGCAGGAACGAGCAGTGGCGATTAAGAGCCCAACTGGGGTGCAACGAAGCCATATTAGGCCAGACTGAGCGGAGGCCTTCGCCGAATTCGGCTGGACCAAGCAGGATGACACGGGACTGTGCCAGATTGAAACAACATTCGACCAACGAAAGCAGGAACAGAGCGGCGATGCTGAATTCAACTTGCGTCCTTCGATGGTGCTGCATCGGAACAGAATGGGCCCAGCTGAATGCGACAAGAAGCAGACGAGAAAACACCGGGAGCATCGATCGAGCCAGGCCGACCTAAACCGATCGCTGTGGAGAAACCTTCGTTCAGATCGGAGCACGGTCTTGCGCCCCGCCCCCCCGTGACGCGCCCTGCGGGTGAGCCCCACCCAGGGCTGGACCTTCCGAACAGCCCGAGCTCCTCTGCTTCGGTGAAGCCTGGTGCTCAGGCAGTAGCGTGGGGCGGTTTGGGAGGTCGGAAAGGGGTGTGGCATCGAGGGGCATGGTGCCAATCGTGGTAATGGCGATGCAGTCTGCGAGACATAACATCGCCATGTTCCCCTGTACACGAAATTAGCACCACCACCCCTTCATACCATACCCCCTTCCTACCTCCGGAGCGGTGCTCATCGCCTGGAGAATGGAACAAGAACGGTCGGCGGTTCGACAGAGCAGCGCCCCGTCCTGGCGGCCACTGCTGCGCGAGGACGGAGCGGGAGAAATGAAACAAGAGGCACGCGGACGACGTCAAACGCGCAGGCGGGAGGCCAGGGCTGGCGGGTTCTGGGCAGCATACTGAGGGCTTTACAATCGGGCAGTGCGCGAGAATCTTGTGCCTGCGTGAAGGGATGCCGCGTGGGCGTGGTAAGCGGGTGATCGTGCAAATTCGAACGTATGCATGTATACACATATTATATAATCGTGTTGGTACGAGGAGAGCACGGAAGCATGCATGCAGGCAGGCAAGTCAAAGAAAGAATGGGCGCTCGTGCGGGTGCACGCGCAGTGCGCAAATGCGTCGGCGGGGGCCCGCATCATCCCCCCAGCCTCGAGACGGAGGCGGGGTTGGGGAGCAGGTAAGGAGGTGGGCCCAGAAATCCGGAGCATTGACCCACTCCCAGAGGACCGGCTTTTCGTCCGATGCCGCGGGTATGCACAGGTCTGCCGTCCATCGGACTTGGGGCGAGGAGGCCGTGCAGAGGGAAAGTTCAGCCTGGAATTTCCTCTGCTGTCCCTCGGAGCTCCACCCATCCGCGAGACCCCGACTGAAGGGCAACGTTAGGGGGGGTGGGCCGAGGGGGGGGGGGGCGGGGGGGGCAGCATTGGCCTGGAATCGGCGACACATCGCCGATGGGTCGGCGACAGAGTCGGACCTGGGCCAGAAGAGCATTCCTCAAGAACATGCGACCCCCCGTCGGCCAAAACAGACAGATCATGCAAGGGTACCCTCCCGTGGATGCACAAGAGTTGGAGGCCTGGAAATGGGCGCCAACACCAACACAGCGTGTTGCCTCCACAGGGGGAAGATGATCATAGATTTCGGTGTTGGTGGTAATAGTTCAGTCACCTTGGAAGCCAGAATATTACCACCCTTCACTGAGATCGGGATCTTATTCCCTCGGTGGAAGCGCACAGCCGACATTGGTGGTGGTGTCAACCTCTAGGCCTGCGAAAGAACATCCAACACGCACGAAGAACACCAGGGCACCCTCCCCGAACCGTAGCCTCGGCATTCTGCCTCGGTCCGACTGTGGCCACGAACAACTAGCGAAACCGAGCACTCCTGGGCGGGGGTTGCGCTCACGCAACCCTCTCGGGGACGAGAGAGGGCTGCGGGCCGATGCCCTCCCCCGGAGCCCATCCCACCCCACGCGTTGCCTCTGATGTGGCCCCGTCCCCTCGGGGTCCAAGACCCGTTCCCCTCAGGACCCGTTTGCCCCATGAAAGGAGAAAGAGGAGGCGGAGGTGGAGGAGCGGGAGGAGGAGGAGGGGGGGGGAGGGGGGAGGAGGGAGGAGGCAGGCGAGAAACCGCGCACGCCCGAGATGGTTCCCACGAGGTCCAGGACCGCTTCCCCCGGACCCCATCCGTGAGCCCCCGGCCCACGGGGGCGAGAGAGCAGCGCGCGGTGGCCGGCGGGGGGGGCGCACCCACTTTGCCGTCCTTCCCCTTTGCCTGGCGGCGGGCGTCACGGTGAGGGAGGGGGACGGCGTGCTGCAGAGTCTGCGACGGCCTCCTCCTCCCAGCCTCTCCTCCTCCTCCTCCTCTCCTCCCTCCCCTCCTCCTCCTCCTCCTCCTCCTCCCCTCCTCCTCCTCCTCCTCCCCTCCTCCTCCTCCTCCTCCTCCTCCTCCTCCTCCTCCTCCTCCTCCTCCTCTCCTCCCCTCCTCCTCCTCCTCCCCTCCTCCTCCTCCTCCTCCTCTCCCTCCTCCTCTTTCCTCCTCTTCCTACATCCTCCTCATCACCCCCCCCTCCTCCCTCTCCTCCTCCTCCTCCTCCTCCTCCTCCTCCTCCTCCTCCTCCTTCTCAACCTCCTCCTTCTCCGCGGCCCGTTCTGACCCGAGCGATCAGTGCCACACGTCTACGCGGCAAGAAAAAGTTGCAGCAGCTACTGCGCTCCATCCGCCCTCATCTCGCAGTGGGCTGGTCTTCGCACAGTCTCGCGCCTGTCCGCGGCACGACACCTTCAGTGGGCATTCTCTGCAACAGCGCTGCCCCTCGCGCGCCCACAACACGGGGGCAACCGCGCCAGGACAGGAGCGAAGATCCCCCGCGGAGGAAAGTCGACACTTGCGCCCCTGCTGCAGCCACCAGTAGGCATTCGAACATGTTTACAAAGCGCCCTGCAGTGAAGACCGAAGGAAGAGATCCGAGAGAACGCCACACGCAGCCGAGGACAACGTCTCACACAACAGCAAAACACGACGGCACTCCGTAGAGGACATGAAACTAAATCCAAGGACGCCTGTTGCTGGGTGCTCCTCCCTGTTCCCCCATCCTCCTCCTCCTCAACCTCTCCGCATCCTCCTCATAATCGTCGCCCTTCTCATTGCCCTCCCCCAGGTCCCCCGTCCACGGGCTCGGCACGCGTAGCGTAATTGTAGAGTCCACCTCCAAAGTCGTGACCCGAACGGGCTTCATTTGCAGGACTTCGAGGGTCGGCGGACGTGGCGTGAGCCTGCAAAGTAAAACGAGAAAACAGCAACACGTTGCTGGGTCCATCTGCCCGTCGATCAAGACTGTGGCGCGACGTGCCAGAACGCAGCGCGCACGACAAACGACGACCAATGGCGCCTTCACCCGCAAGCGTACAATGCCCGTGGTCTCGTCTTTCCTGGGCGGGGCGGACACGCAGCTTCGAGGAAGCTGTGGCAACCAGTGGAGTGCTGGCATGTGTTGCAGCCAGGCAAGGCCAGCGAGCCAGCGAAGGGGACGATGGCGACGATGCGGGCCGAGGGGTCAATCAGAAACAACTGTGCTGACGACTGGATCGAAAGGGCCCAGGGACAACAGGCGTTCAGTGAATAGAGAGGGTGAGAGACGTATGAGATGCGAATTCTCGGCCACTGCAAGTAAACGGTGTCAATGCATATGATAATCGATGTGCTTGTATGTACGCATGTGGGACGGATTGCATGCATACTGTATGCGTGGAAGGGAGAAGCCATGGTAAGCACGAAACCATCGAGCAGCTGCGTTTCAAAACGATCGGTTGCACTGAACACTGTGCATTGAGGGCGCAGCCTCTCTGGCCTTCGCGATATAGATGGCCGCACAGCAAGCATGAACAGCGCACTAGCACGCAAACATACTCGCGTATGAATCACCGAACTGCGAGACAACGAAAGCAGCCGAAACATTGCCGCATGGACGTGGACAAGGAATATGAGCCCCATCGCCGAGGGCCCACAACCCCGCTGAGATGACCAAGCCGGAAAACCTTGCACTATGAAGAGCCCACGCCCAAAGCACATGCAACAAATGGGCACTGTACTCCTCCAACGCAGAGGTGCCCTTCACCCTCGTGCCGGCTGTACAGCTTGCAAGGGAACAGACATGGCCATACGTTGCTAAATCGCATAGCGATTTGCACACCGACCCCTATGGATCCAGGGTTCTGCTGCAATCGAGTCAGCGGTCCTTGCCGTATGGATCTGCGCATGTGTGTATATAGCCGTATGTTTCTGCGTATGTGTATATGGAGGTGCGCGGATACAAGATGGACATCCAGAACACGCTGGAGGTATACTTCTGGCTCCAAATTCTCCCTTTTTGGTTTACAAGTTGTACGTCTTGCTGAAGTACTCTTTAGAGAATAAGAACAACTATATAACAAACAAACCTCAAACAACAAACAAAACGCCACCGTGCCGCTAGTCGCTCACCGCAGTGTTATAGGTGTGCCCACGGGTTCCCCGCAGGGAGTGCCGCACCGAGCGGAGCAACAAGCGGCTCGCCCAGGCGCCCTGAAGGCTGCCTGGGGCCCCTGCGGAGCCTCGCCGGGGCGGGCCCTCTTGGAGCCCTCGCGGGCTGTCCTGGGGCCCCTCCGGCGCCGCCCGAGGCTCCTCCTGGGCCCCTCCGGGGACCCTCAGGGGGCGCCCTGCTGGGACCCTGCGGGCCAGTCGAGCCGTGCTGGAGGCTCGGGAGGCCCAAAAGGCGAGTGTGCCGAAACCCGGTGAACACACAATAACGACTCCCATGCATAGTCTATATAGATGTAGATGAATCTGGAGAAAAAACACTCGAACACATGTACAACTTCACGTGTGCAAGTAAATGTGTCTACACAAATGAATAGATAGACACGTACTCATACAGGAATAATCTACGTGTATAAATGCAACGGCTCCATGACCATCGCCGTACTAATTGGTCCCTCGGTTCGGTATCGAATCGGGACGGGCGCGGTCATCTGTGTGTGACGGGGTCAGAGATACTGGGGCCTGTCAGGAGACATTGGGGGCCTCTTGGGGGCCGGTTGGGTGCCTTCCGAGGTTTCTTTTGGGCCTCTCGAGGGCCTCTTGGGGCGTTTGGGGTGCCTCCTGGCGGTCTCAGGTGCCCATTGAGCGCGGAGGGCTCAAATCTGAGTTAGAGTTCTCCGTCTTGGCCTCTGAGGGCCCTCTGAGGGCCCTCTGGGGCCGTCTTGGGCTCGTATTGGGCCGCCTGGGGGCCCTCTTGGGGCGTCTCTGGGCCGTTTAGGGGGCCCAGGGGGCTGTCTTTACGTGGAGGCCGAAAAATCGCAGATGCTAAAATACACATCGTCCGGTGGGAGTGAAACAGTGTGCCTCTTGGAGCTCTGTTGGGAGAGCAATTGGAGGCCTCGTGGGCGTCTTGGAGGTCTCCTGGGTAATTTCGTGGCCATCTGGAGCGTCTTTGACCGATCGCTCAGCGACTTGGGGCCCTCTTGGACCGTCTGGGAGGCCTCTTGGAAACCCCTTGGCCCGTCTTGGGGGCCCTCTTGGGGGACTCCGGGGCCGTCTTGGGCACTCCAGGGGCGCTCCCGAAACAGCCAGCCAGCCGGACCCGAAATCAATTCACATCCGTTCTCTATGAGTAACTATTTCGATCATACATCGATGAATAGGTCATCATTCTACGAGTACGGCTATAGATTCACCACCGTGCCTATGGGCACGGAGTGGGCGTGTCGTCAGGTACTTTGCCGAATCCTCCAAGCCTCAGCCCTGACTCCTGAGGAGTCTTTGAGGGATCTGGAGCCCAAAATTGCCAGATTTGGCGAGGCTTCGCGCGTCGTGTCAGGGACTTGTCGCGCACTCTGGCGTGGCTTGTCCGGCCCTTAAGAGGAGTCGCAGACTGGCCAAGGGGGTCGCAAGAGGCCCTCAAGAGGGCACAGAAAAGGGGCCCGAGACGCCCCAAGATCGCCCCGAGACGGCCAAGAAGGCCCAAATACGGCCCACGAAGTTCCCACGACGCCCAGAGATGCCTCCAAAAGGCTTCCCAAGGGGGCGTCAAGAGTCACTAATCAGTGATTGTCCATTGGTTTTTGAAGGATTTGGGCGTTCTCGCCTTTTCGGTTTTCCGACGCTCCAAGACGGCCCAAGAACCCCACACGACCACCCCAAGACGGCCAAAGAGGCCTCCAAGAGAGCCCCAAGACGGCCTAAGACAAGACCGACCAAGAGGCGCCCAAGAGGGCCTAAGAGGGCCCCAAGACGGTCCCAACAGGGGCTCAAGAGAGGGAACACGAGCCGAAAATCCAAGCCTTCCGCCCCAAGAGGCCCCCAAGAGGCCCCAAAAGGCGCCCAAGTGGCCCCAAAAGACACCCAAGTGGCTCCAAGAGGCCCCAAAGAGGCCCCCAAGAGGCCCCAAGAGTGCCCCAAGAGACCCCAGAGAGGCCCCAAGAGGACACAACACCAATTCCAAGAGGCCTCAAGGCTGCCTCCAAGGGGACCCCCAGAGGCCTCCCACGAGATCCAACGAATATCCAACAGGCTTCATACCTACAACCCAAGCACGGTGGCGGGATGTGCCGAAGGCCATTGAACATCTACATGTGTATATGCATATGTATATATGTAGATGTCTGTGTGCATGCACACCTGTGTGTATGTGAATAAACTATGTGTATATATACAGATATGCAGATATGTAGCTATATACACATACCTACGTACATGTCTGTGTCCGTTCCATGGGAGCCCGCGTGGCACCCAGCGCTGTCCAATTTGGGCCTGATTTGGACCAGAGTTGGAAAAACATTGGACCAGATTTGGGACCAGACTTTGAATGGATTTTTTTTTTGAGCTCTACGCTCTGCACCGCAACATTCTGCCTGGCCCTCTACTGCGGGGGGAGAGGGACAGATGTGGGCCAGCGGGCCTGCTGTCGGACGAAAACCGACACAGTCCCTGCAGGCGGGAAAAAGAGGCGAGGAAAAACTCGCCACGGCAGACACCTGAGCCGAAAGAGATGGCCAGGAGAGCCGACTAGCCCGAAGAGGGCCGAGAGGAGCCCGAGCGGGCAACCTCGAGCAAGCGCTGGGCCAGGACGGCCTGGTGCTTGCTGCGAGCATCCTCCACCTCCGAGGACGGGGGAGGGGGAGGCTCAACCGAGGGAGCGGGGACCTCCTCCACCTCCACGGCAGGCTCGTCAGGCCCAAGGACTCCGTCCACTGAGCTGAAAAAGGCTCATGATGTTCCCTGTGTGGACCCTGACCTCCCTCTTGCTGTACTGGGGGTGCAGGCCTCGTTTGCACAACGTGTTCCATCCCGTCCGCGTGGTCTCGGTCGGACGGCCAACACATTTCACAGACAAACCGCGAACTCTCTGGCCCGAGGAGTGACAGTGGCAACGCACACAGATGAACAGAACGCTGCTGTCGGAGCAGTCAAACGCTAAAACACGATGCTCTAGAGCCAAGAGACGGCCCTCATCTAGTTTACTGCGACCACTGCAGGAACCAGGAGGGGGCTCAACGAGGGCTCTAGTGCCACGTAAACAAACTTCACACCTCCACGCTCCCGCCCAGGGTCTCCAGACATGTGGCAAGGGCGCTGAGGCAGCCGAAGGCTTACTGAGCAATACAACACCCGACAGATCTATGGGGTCCCATAAAGGCAGGAGGCGGGCCGCGAGGCGCAATGTGCAGCGGGCCGCCTTGATAAATTTGTCCGTGACATCATTGGCTTCGGCCGAGCTAGGATGCATGTCTAAAGCATGTTTGGCTCCAACGTCGGCCCAGTAGTTGCCTTGCCTACGCCATCTCTCTTCGCTGGAGATGCCTTGCTCATCTCGGTCCTTATGAGCAGCAACTTTCTCAACGGGGAGGAGCGAGGACGCAGTGGAGTAACACTGGAGGAAAGCCCCCGAGTACATGCGCTGACCAGAAAGGTGGGCCGCCTTAGGCAGGCCAGCGATCTTAACAACGTTGAGGCAATCAGACAGGGCCGATGCGTGGCCTGGGATGCCGAGCATGTGGGCCCACGTGTAGGCCGAAAACTCAGCACTCTGCGGGGTCTGAGGATAGGGCGCCCAAACAGGGGCTCTGAATTCGGCCACACACCTACCAACAGAGTCGACCATGGCCACGCAAGACGCAGCCCGACTAAGTTCACGGATGGGGTGCCGAGTGCACGAGCCGTCAATGAAAAGGGACCCCCAGAGCTGCCTGTCTAGGGGGCCGCCGACAGGGGAGACCTGATCGGTGTCATGCCACACAACCATAAGACCATCATCGGCATCCGTCGCGGGCTTCGGGCTGAAGTCGGCGGGATGGGCGAAAGCCCCAGAGATAAACGGGAGCAAAGCAGACCTGTCGCCACCTTCAGCCTCGAGCGCGGCCTCTATCTCTCCAGCCTTGACCAAGGCGTTGCG